AGTTCAGCGGCCAGGGCCCTCGCGCCATCGTTGGCGGGCGAGGCCCAAACCACAGCAGGCTTGGTGAAGGCGAGGTCGTGCAGCTGGGTCTCCCCCGGCACGACGAGGGAGAGCGACGTCTCCGTCAGATAGGTGGGCGTGTGCAGCAGCAGCCCCTCGGCGATCATCTTGAGCGAGACGGCCTGAAATTCAACCTTGCGGTGCCACGTCACGACGCGGCGGCCGGCGCCAAAGATGGCCGTCCTCAGTGCGGGCGGGCACTCGGCGCGCAGCTCCTCAAGGGTGCCTCCTCCCTTCGTCGGGTCGATCTCTTGGACCAGCACGAGCGGCTTGCCCTGGCCCAGCGACGCATACACCTCTCGCAGGCAGTTCTTGCTGCGCCAGTACCCCTTGGTCATAAAGATGAGGATGACTTGAGAGCGCTGGATGTACTCCTCCAAGGAGCCGAGGTCCTCGAGGTCGTCCACGTCGAGAAAGATCTTGATGCCGGGCAGCAGGTGACGCAGCTCGGTCTTGATGACGGCGGCGGCGTCTTGACCGGAGGACCATACGTGGCTGTTGAAGAGGTGCCACGTCAGGCCGGTGCCCAGAGTCAGCTCGGGCGCCTGCTTGGTCGAGGAGAGCCGGAGTATTGGTTTGCGAGCCATGCGGCGCGCGGCTGCAATCGCAGCGACGAGGAAACCGAGGAGGACCGCGACGTGGTCACATCGGCCCCGAGGTCAGATTCTTCTACTCTGACTCTGTTGATGACAACACTTGTCTATCTGTAAGGTGCCTATAGGGCTTCCAGTATCGGACCTTCAACACATGCGCTTTTGGCCGGTGGCCTCCTGCGTGTGGCTTGCCGAGGAGGTACTCGAGTACCGGTACCCTGGTACCCTTTCGCCCCGCAATGAGAGCGCCGCTGCCGCTCGCGCTGTGCGCCACGCTGCTGACGCACGGCGTCGCGCGCGGAACTGATCTCGAGGCTCCGCTGCGCGCAAATTATGTTACTTCCGGCATGATCGCCGAGAAGACGGCGGACGTCAACCTCTCGGAGCCACTGCGCTACCTCCAAGCCGGACCTGCCTCGTCCAAGCGACTAGTGGTGCTGCTCCACGGCATGGTCTTCACCGCCGACACGTGGAAGTGGGTGGGCACGATCGACGCGCTCGCCGAGGCCGGCTTTCGCGTCGTCGCGCTCGAGCTGAAGCACTACGCGGGCGAGTACGCCTCCGAGGCAGTTCGCACGAGCCTGCTGCGTAGCTTCCTCAAGGCGCTCGGCTGGCCGGCGAGCCCGCGCTCCGTCCTCGTCGTCGCCGCCTCGGCGGGCGGCTCTGTCGGCGCGCCGTTTGTGCTCGACCCAAAGACGGCGCCGAGCGTGGCAGGGTATGTCTCAGTGAGCGCGCTCGGGATTCGCGGCAACGCGAGCGGGCCGTCGAGCGTGCCCGCCCTCCTCGTGTGGGGCGCGCTCGACCAG